AAAAAAAAAAAAAAAAACAGATTTTGAAAGTGGCCATTCACTGGCTGTTTGTTTTTTATTTGTAGTAAAGTAGTATTATAAAGTTATTAATTCCCGCACCCAAGACTTTTCACCCACGCCCACCTAATTTCCAACTTATCTACTTGAGATCAACCAAATTTGATCCCAATCTCGCTAGATCAATCCTCCAACTTTCAGACTGGCCCGGTCCGGCCCAAGCATGCCGGAAGGCCGGTCCTGCTGCCGAGGAGGGTTGGTTGGGAAAAAAAAAAGATTAACCATAGAAACAAAATTCAATGATCCAAATCTGGAATATATTCAAAAAGAAAATTTCTAAAACTATATTAATTTTGGGAAGTTCCTCTAGTTTTTAAATATTAAAGTGATATTTTTGGAACCATCATAAGTTTTGTTGGTAAACCAATTTTTATGATGGAATACTTACGTAATAAATATTTTAAAATTAGAAACTTAAAAATAAAATGCTATATTGCCTAATCTTTAATTTTATTAAACAATTTCGGCTGATGGAGTTGTGAATACTCATTCACGTCATACATAATTAATATTAACCATCTTGTCAATTTCTTTTTAGCAATAACTTTCTCTATTTTTAAATTTTTTTTCAGACAATAAAATTTATACATCTCTCTAAAATCTTTTTAAAAATACAAAATGAAATAAATAATTGCAAGAATATGAGCAAATAATGAGCCATGATCACACAATTCAATAAATAGTCATATAATTAACAAAAATCAATAAAAATAATCATATAATTACCGAAATTAGTAATACTTCTTGGTTTGTATGTCTATTTTTATTGAATTGCAAGATTATTGTAGTCCAATAATTGATCCTATGTTGTAATAATTTTATTAGCACTTTTTTATAAATTTTTATTAGTACAAATATTATTTTATAATTTCTCTCATATTTATCCACATTCCCTGTTTTCTACTTGTACCTTAATTTCTTCCCAAAATCATTTAAATATTTTTATTTTTCATGCTTTCACTACAGTAAAATACTTCTTTCCTTTTAAATATACTTAAATAACACCGAGTCCCTTCTTATCGTAAAAACAACACTTTCTTCATTTGAGTAATATTAATTAATGATTATTTAATCGTTTTATTAAAAAATAGTGAGAATAACTTAATTTATAAATTATTCATTTGATTAAATATTAAAATATTATTTGATTTACTTAAAAAAATTTTAACTATAAAAATATTTATTTTTTAAAATTTTTATTTGATGATATATTAATTTTATTTAATTTTTTAAATTTAAGTTACACTCCGTCTTTTTTCTAAATCTTACTTGGTCTCTTTTTTTTTTCAACTAAAAATGGCACTCAGCCACAAACGATAGTTAATTTGAGTGATAAATATTTTATTTTCCTAAATTAAGATTTTGGGTTCACTGAAAAAAGTTCTGTCCTATCATAAAATCTCTGCTAACTCGAATTATGTTAGTTAAAACTGACAATTTCAAACTAAAAATGACACTTAACTCATTTTTATTTCAATATTTAAATTAAACTAAAAAATTAACTAAAAAAATTATTTTGAAAGTAAAACGTAATAAAATAAAATTATCAAAATTAGATTTTTTTAATTATCAACAACCAGAGCTGTGAAACGAACAAGAGCATGATACAACAACCCGATTGATCATCTCCCGCACGATACAACAGTCTGTGTATAATTCCAACTTCAAATACACTAAAGGAAGGAGATATGGAATACATGGAAATATGTGCAATTCATCTGGCGATTGTGCCCGTGGGTTACCAGCTAATGGCATACATTGAGCTTAAGACAATCCTCACGGCTGCGATGTATCCGACTAGCCGCTGACCGACGAGAATAATCGCCGGAGCCACCACAGATGAAAGTAAGATCTCCAACAAAGCAAGAACTTCGCAGTTTCTGCATCCAATTGCACATCTATCTTTTTAAGATTTTGCAGGGTGAAGACAAAATGCCTTATTGAGCCTCAGAAGCCAGTGATTCAGTTATTCTTCTCCAATTCAATCTTACTTTGCGGTGTCTCATTTAAAGTCTGCTGGGATCTGCACAGGAAGTTCCTGGAATGGGATTCCACGTTGCACAGCCGGGTTCTTCCATTGCAGCATCATTAATTGATGGAGAATCAAAACCGAAGCATCTTCTTCTTTTAGAAATTAAGGTGGCCTTTGGTTACATTTGCAGTTTCCATTACGTGAGTTCTATGTTTATTCTCCTTCAATTTATTGCTTCTATCCTCACTGAGCATGATTTAGGGAAATCACTACCGCCCAACCACGATACCTCTAAACTCAGTGAGGCCTTCTGAATATATCGAAACTAGCCAATGTTGCTTATGCTTCTCTCAGAAACAACTTTTGCAGAACTGCTTATTCTACCAAACAGCTCCTTATACTTGTTACGGTGCCAAAGTGGCACAGATGATAGATTCACAGAGTGTGCCATTTGCATCATACTGGAGAAAAAAAATGAGTTGAGTTTTATTGAAATCGGCAATTTGGTGAAGAACGAAAAATTATTTGAATTAGGATTGATTTTGTTGAAGGCATCTTTCTCGAAACTTCCAGCAAATTTTTCCCTTTGAGTGCAGCCTTTTCTTCTTCTTTGTTCATCATTTTGTGTGCATATAAATCATAGCATTGCGGTCATTTTAACTTGAAATAACTTGCAGAAGAGCTGTATGTGTCTGTCGTATTTTTAGATAGTTTTTCTTGCATTTAGGGCCTATTTCTTTGCAAAAGTTTTTGGGAGAAATTGTTGCTCAAACTTAATATTATCAGAGCTCCATATGCAGGATGCACTCTGTTCAGTTTCGTTGTTTGTCCTTCCCTGTTGGCAACAGGGTCAAATATGATTCGGTTCTAGACAGGTGGATGCACTTCGCTGGGCCCATTTCCTAAAAATTTTTAGCTTTTGGCTGACAGTGACGGATTGATCTAACCCCTTCACTTCATTGGGCATGAAATGGGTTTTTTTGGAGAAAAGGCTGCCTCCACTCCAACCACGAAGACTTATCTTTGACCTGATTTTGCAGGAAAGAGTGAAGGATAGGTCAGTACGTTCTAAGGAAATTCCACAATTCACACCTAGTGAGCAGTCCTCAGAGGTGGTTCTTCCCATTTCATTAGGTGATGCATATCTTGCACCCGTGACCTCCATGCCGGGCAAAATTTTTAGCTTTTTTGCATTACACTGTCCCACAATTAGTTGCATGTAAAAGAGCATTTGTATTTTATTTTATCCTTGACTTGGGAAGGAAAAGTACTGTAGGAATTGCAAGTGCAGTTTCCTACAGTGAAAATTGAGGACTTTTCAGGTTCAGGTCCTCCCGTGATGCTCAAGAAGCTGGTGAGGCAGGGGCAGAGGTAGGGTAATGGGCTCTAGGAACTTAAGCAGACCACTCTTGTTGCAGCTGTTGCATTCTGTCATTCACAGAGGTGGTTAAATTTTGCATATGCTTGCTATCTTTTTCTCTGAAAGAAAGAAAATTTTATGCTGCTTGTTGAGGATATAGATTGAGGATAAATGTGCAATTAATCCTCTAATGACAGCATGGCTAGACACCACCAGAAATGTGTGATGATAACTAATAATTTATGTTACTATGTCCCTTGAAGAAGAAGCTTAGATACTGAAAGTCCTCGTATCTTACATGATGAGATGCATTTAAAGCATTTTTGTCTGAGACTATTACTGTTTTATCTTATTCTATTGTAATTTTTTTCTGACTTCACAACGAAAAAGAATAATTCCTGGCTGAGAATGAAAGTATAATGTATCAAATTTGCAACAAAACTTGCTTTCTTTCAAATGATATTTATCACAAATTCATGCTTTCTAGAGTTATGTTTCTTCATCGTGCCATTTCAGACCTGCATTAGCCACTGCAACAGCATCAGCTCATCAGTTCTGGTTCCAGTAATGAAGCAGGTCAAAATGGATTAAGTAGCGACAGCATTTTCAGTTTGAATGCTCTTCTTCTTCAGTAACAGGAGTTCATTTCAATGTATTTGCTACAATAACTGAGTACAATTTGTTGTGTTAACTTGCCAGGGCAATGATGAAAACGTTCGAGGGAAAGGATGGAAAACAGAGCTACTCCAAGGGACAGCGGTAGAGGTTCCACACCTTCTAAGCGGGAAGAAAAGCAGATAACATCTTCCATCTATAAAATGCTCATGGGTAAAGATGATGAAGATGACGAAGATGATGATAACAGGGCAAGGAGATTAAAAAGGTCTCAAACAAGGGTGAGCAATCTTCCTTGACTGAACTGTTTCCTCTGGCATGTTTTATCTTGGAGGAATTTAAACTTTTGTTCTACATATATTTATTTTTCTGTTCAGCAAAGAACTAAACACCCCCGACTTCTTGAAACTCTCAGTGTGTGTGTGTTTTAATCCTTTTGCTAGTACTACCAATTTTTGCTTGAGAAGCATGGTCCTACTTTCACTTAATTCAGGTATTACTGGTGCCTTATATATGTAAATATATATTAGTTTGGTACTCTCTGTATCTTCAGATGGTTTCTTCTCGGTTCAAACTCAAATGTATTTTAGTAATCATCTTTCGTACGAGTCCCACTAACAGTAGCTGGACAGTACTTTTTTTTTTAAAAAAAGACGTTTCCAGGTCACCTGTGTCGGCACGATCTTGAGGCTAGAGAAGGATCTAGACTGGATCTGGCCTTGATTTGGATCTCATTCGGACGTGAACATGGTTCTATTCTCTCGAGAAAATATGCTACGTTCTTGGAACGTTTTCTCCAGGCAGGAGATGAATCTATGTAATGGTGATTACGTATTCTACCATGTGATCATCCTTAATTGGCTGTGAAAACCAGCGAAAGGAGGACGAATTAATTGCGCAACGTTTATCACAAGCATCAATGCACATGAAAGGTTTTTACACTCAGTAAATCAATGGCTACACACATACACACACACAGAATCTGCACATCAAAACCTAGACCACTTGAGTAGCTCCACTAGATGTCTTTTGATTAACAGTGTCGTCGGAGGTGAAGCCATGCTTAGTCGAATCATACTTCTCCCCGTCACCCCACAACGCGTAGGCCTCTTCGCCATGCACGGCGTCATCCCCAATCGTCAACTGTTCCTCAGACATCCTCAGAGGAACCACCAACCTTATCAGAACACAAATGATGGACGTTACTACAAGGTTCCATCCAATGATGAAGGCTCCCCCAACTAATTGTTTGAGGATTTGGATGCCGCCGGCTGACTTTCCGTAAACTCCTCCCCTGGAGTTGGTCACAGGCAGGAATAGGGCACAAAGAGTGGGCTCTGCAAACAGTCCGGTAAGGATGCCGCCTAGAAAACCGCAACGGCGTGGGTGTGGAACACGCCAAGGGTGTCATCAATTTGCTGCAGTAAAGTCCACCTCTTGTGGACAATCATCATGGTAAACCATGGAATACTGCCTGATAGAATCCCCATTACTATGGCAGCCCATCCTTGAACAAGGCCTACACGAATAAATTAGATAGTTAAATTTAAATGCGTTGTAAAATCAAAATTACGAAGAAACAAATTAAGATATTTTTTCTAGTGATTATTTCAGAAACATATATGAGTCTAAGTAATTCTTTAGCGATGGAACCATGTGGCATATTGTTTTTTATATGAATATCATAATTCATTAAAATTAACTAATTTAAAATTTTAAAATAATGATTAATAAATTTTTTTGGGGTAATAACAATGCCATCTATATATAAATACAAAATACAAAAATTTACCAAGGTTACTTCTAAAAACTATTATCACAGAACAGTTAAATTTAAAATTACCAAATCGAATAGCTTGGAAATTTTAAATACTTGAATAATTTTCAGACGGTGTAAAAATAAAAATTACCCAATTAAGACTATTTTTTATTTTCAAAATATCCTAATTATTATGCGAATAGATGCTTTTAACTATTACATTTATATATTTATATAATAATAATAGTGGTATTTTAAAAATACAAAACATATTTAACTGAACTTTTTTTTTTGAGCTTTGAATGAAAATATTTTACAATATAGGATTTACAAATAATTAAACTTAACAAGCCATCCATCACTGTAATTTTCCCATAATAAATTAGTCAGGGATTTGCGTTTCATAAAAGCATAATTTTTTTCTTATTACCTGCTCCTGGAGTGATGCAGACGAGCCCAGTGATCATGCCCTGAACGGCACCGATGACAGAAGGTTTGTTGAAGAAGAAAACATCAAGCCAAGTCCAGATGAGGAGGCTGGTGGCGGCGCAGATGTTGGTGTTGAGGACGGCCATGGAGGAGTCAATGTTAGCGCTGTAGGGGTCTCCTCCGTTGAACCCCGCCCAACCCATCCACAACAACCCCGCGCCCCGCCAGTGTCAGCAGTACGTTGTTTGGAGGAAACCTCTCCTGTCAATTGTCAACCGAGGCCCCACCTATACGTAATGGCAGTAGTTCATTCGTCACAGATCTGAAAAATTAACATATAGTACTATTGTTTCATTCAAATTTCATTTTAACCCTCAACCGTTTTTAGTCAAATTTTCTAGCCAACCCCATTTTTTCCTACACCTTAAAATTATTCTACACGAGAGATAATATGAAAAAATGTTTTGACTAGTCTTCTTATCATCCCTTCAATAGACAATTAAGATTTTGTGATTAGAAATTAAAATATTCATTTAAAAATTAATCAGAAAAATATATATTAAAACATCAGAGTTAATTTTAAAATTATTATTTAATCCTAAGACTCTTGGGAGCTGTTGACTACAGCCAATCTTACATTATTGCGTACAACTGGCATGCAATCAGCAACGGCCAGAGGGAATTGACTTAATGAGATAGTTACCAGTATCAAATTGGCTATATTCATAACTTGGATTTGAATATTTTTCTTTTCTTTTTGAATTAAGAACCATTATACTATACTTTTAATATTTGACTACTAATATGTCGTAAGATACAATCGAATAATTTTTGATATAATGAAATAGAAATTGATAAAATAGAATAAAATAAAAATTCTTATAAGTATATTTGGTGTATATTGATAAAATGAAAATTTTTATTTTATTATTATATTTAGTATATTGGAATAGATTAAAGAAAGAAAATCAAAAAATTGTTCAAAAACAAAAACACTTCTTGTTAAAAAAATTTTAAAATTAGAAAAAATTGAACTTCTAATATTTTGGAACATAGTAAAGTTTAAAAAATTAAAAAAATTATATTCTAATACACATATATAGATATATATAACATATATTACTTATGTAAATATATAATTTATTATATTATTTAATATATATTAAAATTTATTTTAACATAATAATATATATGTAATATATAGAATATAATATATTAATATATAATATTATAAATATTTAAACTTTGTTATTTCTTAAAAAAATAGAAGGTAATATAGTAATTGTGTAGGCAAGTGATGGAATTCAGATTATCTCATTTGAAGAAATTCGTATTCTCTAGAAAATTATGATTCTCATTTTAAAATGCTTACAAAATATAATCTTTCAAAATTCCTATATCCATTCCTATTCTTATTTCAATTTTATTAAGAGAATTCTATCGTACCATTTACTACCTAAATTTATTATATTCAAAACTAAGAGAATGTTTAAATTTTACTTAAAACTTTTTTATTTTAAATAATGAACTTCTAATTTACAAAATTGGTTAAAAAATAATTAGAAAATATGCAAACTGATTTAAGTAATACAAAAAAGTTGAAATATCATAATATGTTTAGTTATTTGTTATCATTTTATATTATAATTTCCTTATAATATTATTTATTATTTTATTATTCAAATATTTTGTTCAAATAATTAACTGCCAATAATTTTATAAAATAAATAATATAATATTTTAAATTATATTAAGTCATTGTCGCGTCGAATGGCTTTAAATAAGTGAAGCCAAGAGTACCTAGAAGAGAATTTTAGAAAAAATACGTGGACTAAAAATTTAAATTGTCCTAATTTCTATAAATTTATGAAGGTAAATAAATTCACCCAGTAGGCGGCGGTGAGGCCTGCAATCCCAGAAGAGAGATGAATGACATAGCCACCGGAGTAATCCATGACGCCCCACTGAAACAGGAAGCCTCCGCCCCATAGGCTAAAAGCGCCCACAGTGTAAGAGAAAGTGAGCCAAAGAGGCACAAACATCATCCACGCTTTAAAGTTCATCCTCCCCAATAACGATCCGGCAAGCAAGATCACGGTAATGGCAGCAAACACGCACTGAAACCACACCATTGACGCCATGGGGTAGTAGGGTTCAACCATGGCTGTCTCCACCGTGCCGTTGTGGTAGTAATGGGTGGTGGCCGGAAGTACCGCCTGCTGGATCAGAAACTTCTGGCCCAGAGCTGGACCTGTTGGACCAAATTAAAATTATAAGTAAATAATAGCAAATCAAAGCAAGTTCCCAAAAACCTTAACCACCAGAAATATTTGTAGTAAGTTGATTAAAATGAATTTGAGGTAAATTATATCTAGCAGGACCTGCCTTGCCCCAAAAAGGGAGGAGTTTGTGGCCGAAGGACATCTTGTAAGCCCAGGTGACCCAGCAGATCACAACGGCGGCGAAAGCATAGAGGGCCATGAAGGCCGAGTTGACTGCCCATTTCTTTTTCACGATGCTGCCGTAAAGGATGACGAGGCCCGGCACGCTCTGGAGGCCCACTAAAGTTGCCGATATCATCTGCCATGCGTTGTCTCCTTTGTTCAGCCAATCCGCCACTGCTGCGGAGGTGTTCCCCTCGTACGCCACTGGCACCACGTCGCCGGCCGTCGACATATTGCGATAGATCACCACGACGACCACCCACCTATATTGTGTCCTACCTAGTACTCTACAACATATATATCGCACTTCTTACAACAACTACACCTACCTATCCAGGCGGTATGTATGGTAGACTTTAATTATTTTAATCAATTACGCGGAAGATGTATTCGATCCAAGCAACATCGAAGAACTAACACGGAAGACGTGATTGTATACACCCACACATAGATGCGAAGAAGAGTAAATTATACAGATGGCCTCCAACTACTTGAAGATTACCATTTTGGTCCTATGACTATCAATATGAATATAAAAATCCTCTGAATTATCAATTGCTCTAACGTCACCCCAGCAGCATCCCCGATGAGAAAAGTTATTCACCTGAAACAGATGACACATCATCACCATGTCCGCAATGATATGTCATTTCTCTTTTATTTGTCTAATTTTGATTGGGACTTTGACAATTAGGGAGAGTTAATTGTCCAAATTGATAATAGGGAGGTCCAATTGAGGATTCCTAAATAGATTGAGGACTATGAAAAAATTCACCGATTTGGACTGTAGAAAGTCAAAGCACGAGCGGCAAACACGTCGGCGAGGCGAGGATCCGTTGCGTCACGTGAAGTGAAGGAGTAAATAGGGAATAACCTATTTTTATTAGATTAAAAAATATAAAAGACGTTAGGGTCCTGTTTGTTTATAAGTTTACCATATTCCGGAACTGAATCTTTATTCCCTTGAATGTGAATGATTCGGGCGGATACCATTTTGGTTTGACGTAGGAGGGAGTAAAGATCGGAAAAGTCAGACACAGCACAGGTTGATGAGGCGGCCACTTGCCTTTCCCGAAACAGGCACCATTTGTTTTTACGTGCAGAAAGTTCCTTCAACCTTCATTTTGTCCTCATCACCGACCTGTAACTGTAACCGGGGCGTTCATTTGGCAAAGCCTATAGTTTCGGGACAAACAGACGCCCTCGTCGTTTCCTCTTCACGTTCCGTGTCATCCACGGAACCTAGTCTCCATTTGGAGCGTCAACGTTGGTTTCGACCAATTATTTTGTTTGTGTAATTAATTATTTATAAATTTAGAATTTGGGTTTAGTTTTTTTATTGATAACGGTCCGATCAACCCTCCATATAAAAATGGATGGAACCAAATCCATGCGTAATACTAATGCAGGTCCTGCTGGCATTTTTGTTGTTGAACTGGCAACATCATAAGATTTGGATCCAATAGATGCGTTTAATTTATATAGTTTCTTATTTTTACTGAAAATATTTTTTAAAAAATTTAATTGTAAAAAGTAACGAATTTGTTCTTAGTATTTTTTATAAAATTTAAAATAAAAATATGTGCTGAAAATTTAAAGCAATTTCCTAAAAATAGAAAAAGCTAAAACCAAATCAAACCAAATATATTTTTTAAGAGGAAAATCTCATTATTAATCTTTAAATTTAAATGAAGTGTCATATTAGTTACATCCCTCAATTTTAATATATATTATGGTATAGTTATTCTAACTAATTTTTATCTATTTTTCAGATTTTTTTTATTAAAAAGTTAAAATTTGCAATTTTCTAAAATGCAGTACATATTAGAGATGAATCTAGTTTTAGAAAAAATACCATACTTTTTAAAGGTTTTTTTAGAGTAATAATTTTAAAGTTTAGTATAGTTAATTTAATGTTTTATTTATATAAAATAGTAATTAATTATATTTTTATATTTATGATATAAATTCTCTTTTTTTTTTCTAATTCAAGAATAGAAATTATCCAAGTACTCGATAATCACTGCCCGTAATTACCCAAGTACTCGATAACACCAAAGTAATAATAATCACCCAAATACTTGATAACAAAATTTTTTTAAGTATAAATTATTTTTATTAATTATGAAATTATAAAATTATTTGTATTTTTGAAAAATTAAAATTTAGTCTAACATTTTTTAACGAAAAATTTGTCTTTATAAATGAATAGAAAATGGCCAAAAATTGGCTGGAATGACTGTATGAAAATATATGTTAAACTTTAACTTTAGATATAGAAATGTTACATTTTTAACTTAAATGATTAATATGATATTTAATTTAAATTTAATAAACCGATAATGAGGTTTATTTTTTAAAATTTAAAAATTTAAAAATTTAAATTATATTCAAAAAATAATAATAAAAAAGAAAAAATATTCTATGAATCTAAACAGGCCAAGATTTCTCATTTTACAAAAGAATTTAGAATTTTAATGAATAAATAAATATAATGGAGTCATTTTCATGTTAACGTCGTTAGCAGCATGCATGTATGGCCGAGAGTGAACAAACAAACATTGACGATGGATGTTTTGAGTAGCATCTAGCTCGCTTTCGGACTAGAAAAACAGATTCTTCCTACGTCTAGCATCCGATTAAATATATTTTTAATTCTTAAAATGACTATATTACCCTCAAAGATCTGACCATCCCCATGCTAATTGAGTAATTAGCGGTCCATAATCGCCGGGGCAAATATAGAAAATTTTGACACTTTATATCTATCCTATGTTACAATATTGACATTAAACGTTGACTTTATTAAAAATATATTTATTATAAATTAATAGATAAAATTAAAAATTTATACTATTAGTGAGAAAAAAGACAAAAAAGGACTTGATTCTCATTTTCTCTGTATTTTTACTCATTCATTTCATAATTTAATTTATAAATTTTAACTCAAACTTGCTAAATTTTATTTTATTTTTTGTATTTAGAAAAAATAATTCATGTTTTTGTATGTTTTAAATATTGCATGATGATAAAATTTTAATTTTTTATTTTTATTGAAGAAAAAGATTAAGAAAAAAAGAAAAATTTTTTACTTTTATTATTAATGATAATGATAATATGAATTTTTTATAATTTTTAAATTAAATTTAAAAATTATATTTCGAATAATTTTTAAAAATAATGCGAACATGATTATTAGACGCTCAACAAACTGATTGCAACATTTGAGGGGGCATGCCAATGAAATACAAATGGAGCTTCAACGCAATCTTTTTCATATTTTGTTGTTTTCTTCCAAATTCAGAGAATGCAGGACCAGAAGGCTCACCGGTCTGCCTTTTATTTAAATTCTAAATCTGTACGTGTATGTAGATAAACATCCCTTTTATCTTTTATCTGATATGGATTAAAGCTCTTGAAGACCCCTCATACATCTCTCTCTCTCTGTCTCTCTCACTCTCACATGCAGGTTGGAGAAAGATGGCCTAAAAAGTTCTGGTAATAGGAAAATCTCAAGTTGGAAAGCATATGGGGGTGGACTGACCTGAGCCCGGCAAAAATGTCAAGCCTGTGGGTCGGGAAGAACAGTTTGCAGCCATTAATTATAGCGAAATATTTTCTTCTTCAATCACGTGAGAGCTGATGGAAAAGGATACATGCAAAAGTGGGGGCCCACGCGGGCTCAAATTTATTCCCACATTACGCGGTTTGACTAATCTTTCCTTTGCATCAAGGAGAATTCTAACTGTATCTAGTATATTTCTTGAGTTTTCGCACTTTTACTTGTGTGTGGATCAATAATTTTTGTACACGTAAGTATATAAAATAAATACTAACAAATAATTTATTTATAAATTAAATATTATACAAGATATAGTTGCAAAATATAGTATAATCATCCATTTTCCGTGTTTCAACTTCAAATTTTTGTGTTTCAATTAGGAGTTTAATTTAATATTATTTTCAAACTTATGGAGAAAGTACAAGATAAAACAGGGTCTATTTCAAGTTTTTTTTTATTTATTTCAAGGATAAGTTGTATATATTTATTTAGAGGGTTGAATTGTTATTTTACAAATTATATCTTTTACGTGGATAAATGCTATTTTTTACGAGTTTAGGTTTGAAAACCCTAGATTTCACGAGAGTGCCGGAGCGTCCTTTTACATTAATTTCAGTAGGTCTGGCTTAGTCCACCCGTAATTGACACTACGTTTCCGGCGTGGGTTAGTTACCCTCTTTCTGTGTAGGATGTTCTACTTAAATTTGCCACTAAATGCTAACCGTTGATTTGGCATCTAAACTAAAGTTCCACCGTGGATGCCGTCATATTTTCATCATCGTCCAGTCAACTACCTTCATTTTGAAGTCATGGTTCCTTTCTTCTCTGCTTGAGCTGGATAGCAAACCGGACAGTTGAAATAGGAGCGCAGGTTATCGCGGAAAATTCAAAGGAAAAAAAAGCCCCTTTTTCAGCTCCATGGATATTTGGTATTGCGGCGGTTAAGGTGAGTTATAGATGTACTAGTTTGACACCTTCTGCTGAAATAAATATACGGTTTATTTTAAACTAATTATGCATTTACTAAAATAAGCACATATAACAGTTTTTTGGATGTATAAGTCTCATACATGGGTCCTACATAAAATTTATGCATTCAAGAATTGTTAAGTGCGTTATTCTAATGAATGCACACATAACATCAAATAAACCGAAATATACTATATCCATTTGACAATCGACGTCATCAAAGTTGTATATTTATCTTTTATTTATAAAATTTTAAATAATATATAAAATATAATATTCATTGCATTTTTTTATGCTCATTATAATAATTTACTCAATATTATTATTTATTTTTTTTTGTAATAAAAATTCTATTATTATTTTCTTATTTTTTAAAAAATATTCGTTCAACCAGTTTGCTCCTACAACAATAATTTTTGGGCAAAATTTCTTTTTAATATTTTTAAAACATATTCATTGGATGATTTTACTCCATGGCAATTCTAATCGGACAATTAGCAAAACATTGATCAAAATGCTATAGGTGAAATTATATCTGACAGAGTTCCTGTGAAATTCAACACTTTTTTTTTTTTTTTCTTTTTTGTTTATGAAATCATTGTACCATTAGGTTACTTACGACTCCAGACTAATTTCTTTCAGGTTAATAGTATGAAATGATAAACTATCTCTTATAAGTACGCTTTTTAGGGAACTAGATTTGTATTTATCCTTATTGAAATAAAAATTATTTACTATCCCGATCAATATTTATTAATAAAATTCAACATTTTTATTACTTCAGTCATACACCCTTAGGAATAATGGCTTACTTGATACAAGATGAATCTAATTAAAATATATATAGTTAAAGTGAATTTGGAAAAAGCGGGTTTAAATAAAGTTAATTTGCAGAAAATTTATTTAAATAAAATAAATTTTGTCATTTATTAGATAGAATGGTGAAAGAAGATTATAAATTTTTAAATATTCAATTAATCATTTTATTTATTTTTGTAATCCTTTCAATGGATTTAAATTATTTTATATTTTTATATATTTTTTAGAATTTGACTAAGCCCCAGCTGGATTTAAAAAAAAATATTAAAACAAGGGTATATAATTATATATAATAAAACAATATTCTAACTTTATTTGATGAACTGGCTATGTGATGGGAGCAGAGAACCAGTACATCATAGACTTTTTTTTTTTTTACAAAATCTGTTTGGGTAAAATGAAAAAATAAACACTCTAGCCTGTATTTAAATATTTAATTTTTTAGTAAATAAACAAATGCAATTTATATACACAACTAATAGTACAGGAAAAAGGCGTATAATTACAATTTACAACTTGTCACCATGGAGCTCATCCTCTCCACCCTCTTCATCATCATAACGTACTGGATGGCAGACCTAAAGCACACAGCTCCGAACTTCTTCTATACTCTGTTCATCCTTCTCTTCAATGTCCTAAGTCTGCCGAGGCATGGGGCTGGCTATCGGTGCTCTAGTAATGGATCAAGAATCTGCGGCGAGGCTCGACTCCGTCGTCATGCTTGCATTTTTTCTGGTTGCAGAGTATTATGCTCAGCATGCTCCTGCTTGTATTGCCTGGATTAAGTGCTTGAGTGTGAACCAATACATTTACAAGCTCTTCTGGTGTCAAGGGTTTCGAACTTGATTATCTAAATTTCTAACAGTAACTAAAACAGAGCCTGATAAGATTCATCCATCTATTTTCCTTTCATCCCAATCCTCGTGAGCGCAATGTATGCGATTAGCCGGTAACCCACCAGCATAATCGCCAGAGCAACCACACATATGTCCAGTCTTTCAAGCCCCACAAGTCTGATCGAAGGAAAATCTCCGACAAAGCAAGTGCCACTTCTCCCACAAGGGTAGGTGTCCCCAGTCTTGTATTGAGACCCCAACAAGAGCTTGTAAATGTATTGGTTCACGCTCAAGTACTTGATCCAGGCAATAAAAACAGGAACATGTTGAACATAAAACCCTCCAACCAGAAGAAACGCAAGCATAATGACTGAGCCGAGCGTCACCGCAGATTTTTGGTCCATTACTAGAGCTCCGATAGCCAGGCCCATGCCTTGGCAGACTAAGACATTGAAGAGAAGGACGAACAGAGTATATAAGAAATTTAGAGCTGTGTGCTTTAGGCCTGCCATCCAGTACGTTATGATGATGAAGACTGTGGGGAGGATGAGCTCCATGGGGAGGTCTGCGATGGTTCTGGCCATATAATAGGAAGAGAGCCTGTACATGCCGGACGATCTTTCTTTTCCAAGCATTAGTCTTTCCTGAGGAAAGGTAAAGATGGCTTGGAAGAGAGGGAAGAAGGACCAGAATGAGGAGTAGAAGAAGAGTAGTCCAATCTGCATTCAAAAGCCAAACAGAGTCTTAGTTTTTGGATAGAAAGTTCCAACGTAGTGCGAAATTGGCTGTGCTTCCAAAACAAATGAAATGAAGCCTATAATCCCCGTCATTAACAAGTGCAATGAAGTTCCAAATAATACTAATGTTTTGCAAGGCCACTGTATGACTCATTGATTCCCGAAGCTTTAGAAGAGTTTATCTATCTGGGTTTTTTTTTTTTTTTTTAATCTGTTACCAATTTTGGAGTGTGGATAACAATTTTCAGAAAACAAATCAATTTCAGAAACAATCTTTGATTTCTGAAGTTCAGAACTCTAGCAAACTGTTTCAATCGGCATTTTCTATTCTCAAAACACATCCCAAGACAAATTTCACCCTGTTCGAAACGAATGAAATGATGTTGCTAATTCATAATACCCTATAAATCTCCAGCATTAATAAGACCAAGTTCAAATTACTACCATGTATCTTTATTAATTTCTTTAAGTTTTAGATTCTTTGACTGTTTGGTATTGCTTCTGAAAACCATATATTATCTACTTTGTAGAACAGAGTTTAAAAACTGACATCAAAACCCATTTTGAAAATTCTTCATGCAGTACATTTTAGAAATAGTTTACACAAAATAAATATAGCTTCAATTCGACATCTTTTTTTTAATTATTAATTCTTCAGAATTTTAGAAAGCTGTTTTTGGGTTAAACAGAAAACTCCATGGTGTTCTCCAAGCTCGAAAGCATTCAGAAACAGAGTAAAGGTAATCCAAAAACAGATATTTGGTTACCTGATCTTGCATGTGAGCTATATCAGATTGCCACCATAAACACCCGGATAGAAAAGCTACGACAAAGATCTGCACGATCTTGAGGCCAGAGAAGGATTCATGCCGCCTCTCTTTCAGCCCTCTTCTCAGCAGAATCGTGAACTGTTGCCACCAGGTTGTGCTCCACCTTGCAAAATGCTTCTCCTCAGCTCCTTCCTCGTCTGGAGAGTCATTTTGTTCAAGTTCTTCCTTCAAATTGCTTGCCATTTGGGTCTTGAAGGCAGACACCAGAGTCTGTTTCACCTTCATTGGATTCTCCACGTCGTCCGATGAAATGCCTGAAAAAATGTTTATTAATTATTATCTTTAAGAAACTGCAATCTTACCGGCATTAAAATATTCAAATTTAGACGAACAAAAAAGTGTAATTAAATTAAAAACAATAAGCTATTGAAAATATTGTACTTACCACTTGCAAGATCCAACAGAAAATCTGAAGGGTTCATGGCGACCCTCGGGGCATACCCAACACGGGAAAAATAGTCCATCATCTCCGCTCCCTTCCCAAAATACAAAGGATTTCCCTCTGACAACAGTAAAACCTTGTGAAACATGTAAAATAGCCTGCTAGAAGGCTGGTGTATGGTCAACACCACCGTCCTCCCCCCATTTACCAGCTCCCAAAGGGTTGATACAATCCGCTGAGCTGTAGTTGAATCCAGGCCCGAAGTGGGTTCATCAAGAAAAATCAAACTAGGGTTGACCAACATTTCTTGTCCTATGCTCACCCTCTTCCTCTCTCCCCCTGAAACACCTCTCAAGAAGTGGTCTCCTATGACGCTGTTCTTGCACCTGGTGAGTCCAAGCTGGATAATTACAGCTTCTGCATGGGCTACTTTTTCATCTTTCGTTAAGCTATTGGGGAGGCGGAGGAGGGCGGTATATACCAGGGTTTCAGTCACTGTCAAGTGGGGGTAGAGGACATCGTCTTGGGTGACGAAGCCCATGTTTCGCTTCATTTTGTTGGAAAACCGCTCGCCGTTGTAGGTGATTAGTCCCCTGAGTTGGCCGCCAAGCCGCCCCCGAGCGCTGTGAGGAGTGTGGTCTTGCCGCTGCCGGAGGGGCCCAGCATGGCCAGCATTTCTCCGGGTCGGACTACGCCGGTGATCCCCTTGAGAATGATTCTTTCGTCGAATTTAGGTTTCTTTAGCCATCCCGATTGAGTTTTGATGTTGACCTTGTAAATCACATCTTCAAACTGTACAATTGGTAGTGAAAAATATTAAAATTACAAGACTTCTTTAAAAAAAAATTATTTACAAATTGACATGATCTTTAAATTTTTGTAAATTAAATTTTAAATAATTGATCACCTAAAGCATAACTGGATGGTAATAAATTACAGTGATTAATCATAAAAGACGTTGCACAGATATCGGTAGGACTGCTTTCTAATTAAATTAATACATTCAATGAAATACTATTATTAGATGCAGGTTTAAAAAATTATAAGATCACTATTATTTAAATTATTTTCAAAATTTTAAACTTCAAATGTTGATTCGTAAACAGGGAGGACGTTACTCAAGTAATATTTAAATATATTTTACCATTTTTTATAGTTATAACTAAACTGACGAAAAAGTGGTGAATGGCAACAACACTGAACTCAATAACTACTCAAAATACCACAACAAGTGAAAGTAACACAATAAAAAAATTAATATATTCTAGAGAAAAGATGAAAGGAATATGTGCAATTTCTAATTTAATCATAGTGTGTGTGTGCGCGAATAAGACTGACAGTAGATGAATTTTTATTGAATTTGATTCAAAATTTAAGATTTAAATTTGATTAAAATATTTAATAAATTAAATTTAATTATAAATAGTTATAATATAGAATATATGAAATTCAGTAATCTAATTTGTTAATAATTTAAATTTAAATTTTAATAATATTTTAAATTAAATTAATAATATTATATATCATATTAATAAATACAAATTTGTAAAATCTAAATAGTAAAAATAAGAAAATTTAGGAACTAATATAATATATGAAATAAAATTAAGAAAATTAAGTGAAAAAATATCATTTTCTTATCGAATTAAATTTTTTTTATTAGATTTCAGATTATTCATCAGATTCATATATAATTTAACATGATATATATTCTATAAAATCTCGGATCAAATTTGATCTAAGTTTGACTTAGTTATACCTTTATATATATATATATATATATATAGAGAGACAGACACAAACACACGCATATACCTTTAACGTAACAGGTCGGTTGACTTTCTTGAAAATGGCGAGGACTTCTTTTTCAGCCGGCGACTGAGTCTGTGCCTCCACATCCACCGTCTCTTCTTCTATTTCACTGGCCATGGACGAAAGCTATAATGGGTGTCGGTTAATGTATTGCAATTTGAAGCCTTGAATGTATCAAAATGTGTATTTTTGTCATGGGAGAGAGAAGATGGATGAGGTTTTTGTTCAATGCTCTGGTTGGTTTCCCTTTAAATAGAAGACTCTGGTTCCTCAACTCTCCACCTAATCTAATACGTGAAGTTGGTTAGGTTACAAAGAGTTCCGCAGCCGGGGAAACTCGACCTTTGTGTGGTAGCCGCAGCAAGAAAATTGGGAACTCAACCTTTGTGCGCTAGCCTCCAGGGAATTAATTATTCCCAAATAATTCTCTGAAAAAAAGAGATAGGAAAAGTTTGGGTAATTAATTGTGTGTGTAAAATTCTTAAATGAGCTCATTTAATATTGTGAAAAGCATGAAAAAACAATAATACTTAAATGATCCGTGAGGAAATTAAGGTAAAATGTTGAAAAAATTAAGTGGGATACCTAAAATAATTTTATTTAAAAATTATTAAATACTAAATTAATTCATATTAATTTAATTTTAATTTTATTTGAAAATTATTAAATAATTAAATAAAATAAATTAATTTTGTTTAACTTTAGAACATCCAAAAATAGAAAATTAAATTAAAAATTGTAAAATGTGTTAGTAGATATAGGGTTGCCAATGGATTTGATTTTAATTTGAATCCAATTTAAATTCTATTAGAATATGAGAATTTACATACGATTAAAATATTTGATGAATCAGATTCAATTATAAATATTTATAATTTGAAATAAATAAATCAGATATAGAATTAAATAATCCGTTCTATTAAAAATCTGAATTTGAATCTTAGCAATTCTTTATTAAATTAATAATTATATATAATATTAATAAATTTAAATTTGTAAGAATTATATTAAGAAAATAAAAAGAGATTTAAGGACCAATATGATTGATAAAATAGAATTAAAGGAATTAAGTGTAAAAGAGTATCATTTTCTTATTATATCACATTTTTTTATCAGATTTCCAATTATGCATTAGATTTATATATGGTTTAATAGGTACACATCCAATAAAATTTTGAATTGAATTCAGATTTGTCTAATTTGATCTAAATCCAACTCATTAACAACCTTATGTAGATAATTAAAGAAGAGATAGAGTTCTTTAGATTTGGATTAGGATTGATTTGAAAATAGGATTAATATTGATTTCATCTTATCTTGTAGGTTAGTAGACTAGTATTTATAAGTAGATTAGGGTTAGAAGAATTTGCTAATTCTCTTTATTTTGGAATTTCAACCCTAGGCTTGGTGTTCAGAAGTTGATCTGCCAAGATTATTATCTATTTCTTTTAATTATTACCTTTGTGCCATCTGTATACTAACAAGTTGGCTTAAATTGTTGATTTTTGTAATTAACTATGATAAGAATAGATGTTCATGTTGAAATGTTAGAAAAGATGGTGCAAGCTCTTGACTCTAAATTAGAAACCCTTGACTCTAAATTAGAAGGCCCTAAGAATGATGTTGACATTCAATTGCCTAACTTTTTTAGTTGTATCAAGTCTCTCATCTCTATGTCATTACTTGTCGTAATTAGCCAATCAGAGTCAAATTTCCCACTATCAATGCCCATGGTCCACACCGATCTAACCATAATTTATCTTGTGAATGCCCCTTCGTAGACAAGTTCTTTGATGTCCCCTTTAGTCCCTACTATGCAGATTTCTTCTCCTTACTGTGGAACTTCTATCGTTTGATGGGATGGATCCCTTAGGTGGATTGCCAAGTTGGAACAATAGTTTGAAATGCATGGTAGTTGTGAGAATTATACGGTGCCCCTTGCGTTGATCTATATGCAACATGCCTTGCACTAGTTTTGTTGGTTGCATTTTGGAGGAGTGAAAAAGTTCTTGAACTCTTCCTTGAAAGTGGTCTAGCTCTCTATCATTCTATCTTCTCTTCGTTGGTTGCATTTTGAGGAGTGGGAAAGTTCTGGAACTCCTCCTTGAAAGCCGTCTAGCTCTAAATGATTCCATCTTCTCTTCCTTCAGCTCTTCGTTGATATCATAAGAGAGCATGATCAACTAAATAAGAGTGCCACAGCCTGCCACTGATGAAGCAAGATGTAACAGTTAGGCAACAACTAACACACTACTATGCTAGAAGCATAGTAGCATGATGGCTATTGTAACCCTTGTCTTATTTATTTCTGTTAACTCACACAATCTATTCACTTATAATACAGCATAAAATTCAATATGTACATTCATAACTAATCATGTATCAACTAGAAAATCTTTTTTATCATTCCAGTAAGCTAGTTAATCAAGTAAAGCATTTCCAGTATTGCAACTCTTTGTTGTATACTGTCTTCATTATTGTACAAATTCTCACATACACTCATAAGTACAAATATATCTTTGCTGGCCAAACCTCCACTAAATGCATGCTATGTTGATGGAAATGCTACTGTCTTAAACTGAATGCTCTTGGTATCTGTGTAGGAGAAAAATAAAAGGGTGAGACTATTATCCCAATGAATAACAATCAAACTAATCATAGTAAAAACAATTAGGGTTTGTACGAATAATAATCATACATACTCTTCCATAAAATTTCAGCATAATATATATAGCAAATAATCAACATCAAAACAAATGAATTTGTATAACAACATCACATCCTAATACAAACTAATATCATTGGAGATATTAGGTAAACATAGAAAGTCTAAAAATCCATAAGAATCATAGTGCACAATTATGTGCATGGTTTGGTCGGATGTGCACAACCGATAATTATGTGTCTTGGAGCAGTAGATCTATAAAACATAATTTGAACCCTTACTTGGACAAAACTGAAATATGTCGGGTTCTACTACATTATGTAGCTTGCATCGGGATCACCACTCTCTGGCCAAACTAACATAGTCTTTAGTGTCTAGTCCTTCCACTAGAAAAATAATCATGTATATGTCATCTAATGTAAGTAAAATTGCTACTTGTCCCAAATGACTACCTGACATCATAGTTTGAGAGCCAAATCATTAAAACATCGTAAACTCATAAAATCATGAAATCATATATATATACATTAGAAATTAAAACATAATCAAATTGTTTACTTTTTTTCTAATATAAATATAAGAGCATGTCCAAAATAGATTTTATTTGATAGAAAATACATTTGTAGAAAACATATTAAAATTAGAGGGATGTCACTCACTATGTAAGGAGAATCTATAATTATGCTCCAAGAGCCGCTTGATTGGGATCTAGCCTGACTTTGTTTTCCTCTCTTATAGATGAGATATATGCATGTGTGAGCAAAATGTCCTAATGTGAAATGCAAATATATGTGACATGTTTTAGATTACAAAATTCTAAGTTTTCTCATCTTTTCTTAACTTCTAAGCTTGTTCCAAGTTTATTCATCTTATTCTTTGGAAACTATGTTCATACCTCTTCATTGGCCATTAGTCTACTTAAGTTACAACTTTACTAGGTATTAATTTAAGGTTATAGAAATTTGTGCTTTTCTAACATCTCTTTGTAATACTAATTTAATCCCTTCTCTTGAGTCTTTTAAATGCCTTAACTTAAATCTTATTCCTGTCCTTAGAGCTTCAGTCAAATGGTTAAAATTATAGAACTATTGCTTACATTTTTTAACATACTCCTCACTAGGCCCTTAACTAAATTCAAATGAAGTCTATCCTATCTTTTGATCTTTTTCTTAATTCTTTCCTGTGAATAATCTTGTCATAGCCTAAGTTATCTTTTTAACCTTACATTTGAGCTAATCTTAGTGTTCTAAAGTTTCGACCAAGTGATGATTGCCTGTAAAAATTTTTACAAAAATTTTCCTACATTCCTTCCTTC